CGCCGCCCCCCCTGCCACCCCCTCCTGCTGTGGGTGTCAGGAATGCCACCACTCTGCACTGAAGGGACTGCTTCCAGGCCCAGCCTCACATGAAGAAGGACCTCCTGACCATGCTGGATTCACCACGCTGGGCTGAGTAATGAAGTTAGTCTATGCTGAAGTGGAGCTATTCCCATGGAACCTGGCCTGAGGAAAACAAACAAAAAGCAAGGCAAAAAGTCCTGTTTGAGAGGTTAAGCCATCAGATGTTACAGAGAAGGTAACAACAAAGTACTTTGGGAAAGGCTGGGGATGGAGGGGATGAAGGTCCAAGGTCAGAGCATGTGCCACTTGGTAACTGTGGCAGCAGTGCCAAGCTGAGGTGTTAGTAGTACAAAAAGTGTCAAAAATGGCATCTTTGCTTTCCCTGTGTGTGCATGCTGGAGCCTCACACATTCTGAGTGACACCCCACCCCATCCACTGCAGTGCCAGCCATGCAGCTGCAGACAAACTGAAGTACCAACAGACTCCCATTCCAAAGCTGGGAACCAGCCTGCAGCAGTCTCACAACTGAATCATTTCCCTTCCAAATGTCACGGACAGCAGTTATGCTATTTAGAGAAAGCTGCATTTTACCTGTAAACATAAGGCTTTTTTCCCCAAGAGGTCCTGACACAGCATTTTCAGACCTCCTGGCTATGCAATTTTTAGCACAGAATCACATTTCTTACGTTTCAATCTTCTGTCTTTCAAGAAAACTTCTCCATGCTTTGACATGTAGAAGTACAGCAAAACCAGCAGGAGTTGAAGAATCCAGGCAAGCTGCCTGACCATTATCAGCTCTCACGCCCTCCTCAGCTACAAACACTACTGCAAGGATGACTCTACAGACTCTGAAGTCCAGTGCAAGCAGAAGGATAAGGTTTTTGGGCTTTGGAGTCCAGTCACAGCCTCCTCTGTTTCCACTTTCAACTCAAAACTTGTATCAGCCTGGCTAACAGAGAGATAAGCAGCATTAGTACTGGATATGAACCTCAGCTTCACTATAGCAGCACATTTTAGCCTTCTTTTCACTGGCTCAGTTTCTTGGCCAGTTCTTGAGGATGAAAATGTTGCTGTTCTTTGGTAGATACAGAAATCTGCCAGCAGAGTTCACCTGTCCTAACACCGACGCAGGAACAACGGGGAACATTTCCAGCCTTGTTCTGAGCTCTGACCCGACCCCGCCGCACGTACCAAAATCCTGATGTGACCTTTGTAGCATCTTCTTCCTTCTCCTACCTCAGCAGGCGTTTATCCTCTCACCCCTTGGTCCCCCCATGCACACACACACACACTCACACACACACACACACACGAAGCCAAACCAACAGAGTGTATGGGTGAGAGTCTATGGAATGACGTTCACCAGCACGACGTTATGAAATTCTCAGGTTGTTTCTCTCAAAGAATAGAAAGTTGAACACATTCTGTACATATTGTTGGTTTCTTAGAAAGTAAACACTGTAACAAACTGTCCATAAAGCGTTGACTTGTTTTAAACACGGCCCCTTCTCATTTTCCCTTGCTCAAAGTCCTCTTCCAGTCAGGAACCCTCCGGCGATGGACTGCAAGCGGGCGGTACGGCGTGTGACAGCAGAGGAAGGAAGAAAGAGGCACTTTTGTTCGGCTGGTATTCTCGGGCTTCCCTTTTTCCTGCGGAGGTTTGTGTTCCTGACACTAGGTGGTAGTGTTAGCACAGAAAACCGCTGTGGTTAGGCACTTGGCAACAAGGCTCCAAGGCAGTGCCCGCGCTCTCTGCTATGTCATCAGAATTGGTTTCTGCCGCACTTCCAGGATATCTGGATGAGAGAGAGAGAGAAACGGAGAGACACAGCCAACTTAGGAGGCTCCTAAAAGTAACCACAGCACCAGCAATGCTGCCTGAAGACCTGGAGGCCCAGCTGTGGACTGCAGCACAGAGCACCCGTTATGCTGCTAAAGGAGTTCAAACCACGAGGAGTGTGTGAGTTGGCCTAGCCAAGTACCATTTCATTCCTCCCTGCTTGAGAGATGGGAAGCCACAAACACAGAGCACCACGTGGAGAGGAGGGTTGATCTACTGAGGAGCATTTGTGGTGGAGTGAAGCAACGTGTGTCAGGCAGAGGATCTTCCAGAGCAACAAGTGGGAGTGCCACTACAGGAGATGACAAGGCTTCTCCCTTTTCTGAAGGGAGAAATGCACCATCCCCAAGACCCTTAAAGAGACTTCTGGATCTAATACAGTGGTTTCATCCACTCCATAGTCCAAAGCCTGTGTTTCTGCACTCAAAAAGCTGCCACAAAAAAAAAAACAACACTCCTTTTACTGGCTCCTCAGCTCTGTATTGTCCAAATGTGACAGAAAATAAACCTGTAAACTATCTGTCCTAACAATGGGTAACTTTCCAATTGTGGACAGTAAAAGCAGCACGCTGGCACAGCAGCACATCAAAATATCTGGAAACTGGGCTGCTGTGTCCTTCTCAAGGCTGCACAGAGAACAAAGAACATGGGAAAAGGGAGCACGTGCTTAATTAAGAGGCTGATCACACACAAGATGACCCGAGTAAAAATCGATCCAGGGCTCCAGAGGGCTCTTGTGAAGGATGAACACAGCAAAGGGAGTCCAGTGAGGGGCCACAGAGATGAATAAGGGGTTGGAGCATCTGACAGATGAGGAGAGACTGGGAGAACTGGGATATTCTAGCCTGGAGAGAAGGCTCAGAGTGAAGGAAGCCTTATCAATGGGTATAAACTCCAGACATTTCACAGTATACTTTGATCACTGTCACTGGGACTTTAATTTCTTAGTAGAGGTCTCCTGAACTACCCAAAGGAGATGGGTGTCTGTCCCACTTCACCCTGCTCTCACTTGTGGGAAAGCTACCCCTGGCATAAATGCATTAATTACAAACAGCCACTGGAAACAGGCTCTAGCTGCTCTCTTGAGCTAAAGCAAACACAGCTAGTGAGAAACTGAGGGTTAAAAATCTGCCCCACAGCCCAGGCATTTCATGTCCTGTTTCTGAGCATCTCAACAAATACAGTGACTCCTGCAACTGCCTGTTAAACAAATGAAGCCTCAGGAAGGATGCTCAAGCTCAAAGCAAATATTGGAGCATGGAGGCATTTATGCCACCCACTTGAGCAAGAATTAAATGCCAGCATGAACAATGCAGCTTCTGTGAACTCCAAAATGCCCGTGGTGAGAGCGAGCGAGCTTGGTAACTCCAGCTAGCCAGCTGTAAGATCATGGATACAATTATCCTAAGGAATAATGATGTATTTTGCTGAAATTTTTACTAAGTATCATTTTCAGCTCTACGTTACCAGCTAGTTTCCTCTTTTGTAGTGTAAGAGCCAGTCTGCTTTTGCAACAGGCTCCAAGCTCTCAGTCTGCAACTGAGGAGAAGATGGAAGTTATTACTATGACACTAGCATCATACAGCTGATGACACTGATACTCATACTATCTTCTCATCCCTTTGAGCAGCAGATGAGCCTGTTTAACAATAGATTTCCCAACTCCTTTTCTGCCAGCTACAATTCAGGAACACTCTGGAAACAACCACTGTGTAACAGACTGGGTTGATTTTCAGGTGTGTTCCCTTTTTAGACCCAGTGAAGAAAAAGTGGACATAATCCAGATAAACTTATTTCAGATGAAGTTTGATTCAATGTAATGAATATTAGGAATGAAAATAATTCAGCTGATGATGACCAACCAGCTCAATGTATGTAATTGGCATAGCCAGACCAATGAGTCACAGGTCACAAGGAAGGTTACTCCTAATTGCAGAGCTACCTTTCTGTCAGCCTCTCAGTCACAGCTCTCTGCTACAACTATTGTTGTCATTGGCTTCCCCTTGCAGAGAAATACTTGTTCTTCTGCCTTAACAGCAAAATCTCCCAATACAGGAGCCAAGGAGTCTCTGTTGATGCATAATACACATGAAAATTCACCTGTTAAAATTCGATGCAGTGGCAAAGTGACGTAAGTTAAGTGTGCATAGAGTAGAAAGTTTTCATCTGTCCTGTTCAGCTTCAGCCAGGAGCCCACCAGGGAACGTCCTGTTCCTGACAGAGAGCGTGACCTCAGGTTTGTGGTGTTGTGCAGATCTGGAAAGGTAGGAGACAACAAGCTGAAAGTCACTGTGCTTTCTGAGTTTTAACTGGAATGCTTCTGAAAGTCAAAAAAAAAAAAAGGAGAAATTCATTACCTAGAGATAAGTCATCTGCAGGACACTATTATTACTAGTTCTGTTTAAGTCAGTCAGAGCATTCCTAGTCCAGAATTCAGCATTGACATTGAAGCTAATGGGTGATAGCAGCAGCTGGCAGCAGCAGTAAACAAACATCTGCTAACAGAGCAGCCAGGAGAGGGAATGAAGCCTTTGCCATCATGCTGCAGATGCAGGATCCTAACCCAGCCTTCCCTCATACACAAAACAACAGAATATCCCTAGAATATAACATGTATGCTGCATTTTTTGACTGTTTCTGAATTTTTCATCCATTCCCCTGTAAAACTCAGCCTTATGCCACAGTGTGGTATAAAAACAGGTGCTGAAGCAAACACAAAAATAAGTGGTGGCAGCTACACTAGCAAGATGCATATCAACATGGGAGAGACAAAAATCTATGCCTTGTTTTCTCTCTTTCCCTACAAACGTGTGTAATGCTGAGTCTACACCTTCTCCTTGCAGAAATCTCATCTCTGAATAAATTTAACTTCCTAGGGCAAGCTGTTAATATATTCCTCTATTTTTAGGATCAGGAATAATGAGGTCAAAACATTTATAACTAAGTGAAACCACACTTCTTAGTATTCTATATGCATGCTACAAAATGTTTGGAAAAACTGGAATTTGGAATACATTAGAAGGGAAAGAAAATGAAGATAGTGAGAGTTCAACATCATGATTAAATACACTAGGATCAGACACTATAAAACAATATGAAGCAGACACCACCATCACCTATAAGGGCTGCTGGATAAATAAATGCCTTGAACTCCATTCTATCCTGGGGGAAGATATCAGAAGCAGGACTCCACCTGGAAAAGCTGCCCTTCTACTCATCCTATGCAGTAATTGATCCAAGCTCTACCCATTGCCTGTAAAACCTGCTAAAACCACATCTCACATATACTAACATACATTTTTTACTAGGCAAATAAAGGAAAAAGATGAGGAAAGGTTTCTACTGCTGGAATTAGTTACAACCAGCTTAAGTTGCACAGAATTTGAATCAAACATTATCACACAAGCTTGATTTTTAATGAGAAATTCCTCATTAGCTATGCTGGACAAGTACTGGTGATAGGTAGTAACTGTGCTACTACAACTAGAAGTTGTGATGTGGAAATTACCTTTGCATATTTCTATTAGCATGCCAACAGAGAGCTAGGATTTTTTTGGGTTTCCTACTGAATTGTTTTTAAACATAGGGAAAGCAGTTTGGGCTTTGGCATCTGTGAGTTTCCTGCCTAACAAAACTGTGACACGATTGGATTGATGTTCTGAAATAGACTGAATTTTTTAGCATTTTGGTTGTTTTATTAGGTTTTCTTTTTAGAGGGTTCAAAACTGATCCAAAGGCAGCTGAAGTAAATGCCTTCTCATCAGCTTTCATCAGCTGTAGATCAAATCAGGGAATTCAGCACACTCTACCTAACTACGCTGTGACACCTGGAAGCGTGTGGCAGAGGGTGGGGTATCTGGGAAAGCACCAGGATCTTTCCTGCTCAAGTTTCACTCAAATATCAACACGTGCAGGAATTGTTTGTTTCCAGCCTTCAGGAAGCTGCTAAACCTGTGCATAACCCTGTTTTCAGGGTGGCACTGGAATTCTGCTTTCTGTGGAGCTACATTTTGCTCACTTCAAACCTTCCGGAAGATCCAGCATTTGGATCCCTTCCCACAGCTCTGTGCCCTCTCCGGACCAGTCTGTTCAGCTGACACTACTTCTCTCACCTCCACCATCATCATCTCTGAAGAACTCCTCACTGTCATTTGCTGAGTGGGATTTCTTCATCTCAGCAATGCGATTTCGGGGCACTTTTCTCTTGAGGGATGGGGAGAAAAAGGACGGGCGGTTGTTGCGCTCCGGGGTCGGCGGAGTGCTGAAAGAAGTGACCTGGAAGGGAAGCAGAAAAAAGGCTAGAGGAAGTTGTGTTTAAAAAGTTCTGTGCTTCTAGTAAGAAATCATCAGTCTCAAATATTTGCCATGAGACAGTCACATGTGTAGGGATCAAAACCATGTCTAGCTGTCACTTTTATGACAGTGGCCAGAGAACGTCAACTGAACAGTCACCTCAGCTTCAAGATACTCCTCAAGAGGAAAATATTTTGATATATCACCCCCCTCAACTGCTGTGTGAGTAATGAAAAACCTCTCTCCTAAGCTGATCACGTTCAGCAAGTGTTTATAGTCATAAAGGAACAAAATTCATAATTTAGGCACCAAGAATGTCAATCTTACTTTTGCCTGTTGAAGTTCAGAAGACTTAACAGGCTAAGAATGTGTTGTACTGGACACACTAAAATATAGTTTCATTTCAAATGAAAAAAAAAATAAGTAGGGATAACTACTTCCCTAATGTGAGGCAAGTAACTTCCATCTCATCCTTCCCTTTTCACAGTTCATTTAACAATCCCTTAAATCTCCCTGAGATGACACCTGATATTGCTCGTGTCTGTCAGTACAAGTCAGGAGGGAGGTGACATGTGAGTGAGGATGACAGCCAAACAACAGCACTGCAGCAACAGTCATCCCTCTATCATTAGTGTTAACAACAACAAAAAAAAAAGGGGAAAAAAAAAGCATTCTACCACCCAACTGACCCTCTCTTTAGTGCACTTAATCTGTAATTTGTACTTGTCTCTGTTTTTAATTCCGTAGCCATTTCGTATCATACCTGGAGGGAAAACCAGGAACAGAAAAATCCCTGTTAAGGCCATTAGCAAAAAGCAATGATAATGCATTGTCAAATCAATTTTGACATTTTCCAGTTGACACTGGAGGTCTTGGAGCTAAAAGATCACCAAGTTCCTCCAGGCTGGACTTCTCCATGCTGCATCTCTAGGTAGAGAGCAAACACACCCAGTTAATGAGCTCTGTGCTGGCAGCAAATTTTGCCTTTTAGGAAGCCAGGAACAAAAACCACACAGCCTGCACAGTCCTGCAGACCTTTAAACTACACAGATTAGCCACATTACACAGAAAATCAGACAGGGATCCAGGTCAGGACACATCTGTGCAGGTATTTTAAAGCCATGCTGCTTAATCACCATTAACTAGGTAAAATGCCTTAATGGAAAACAAGGCTCAGGACTCAGTAAGGGCCAAATGAGCATCTATGGACTGATTCTATTGGTATTTTACTACACTTGAATTAAAAATAAGCATATGCATAAATAGAATACTGCATGTAGATCCATAATCTTTGCTTTAATATTATGCTGGCAGCATTCATCAGTGGCCAAGTCTCCCAACCTCATTTCCTGTGAGGTTTAGCAAGCAAACTACATAATATACAATTTCCATGTGTCTAGGTAAACCCCATCTTGTACACAAATGGAATCTATTAATTTTCATAGAAAATAAGCAGAACCATCCTTTTCCCTGGCATCAACATCCTGTTGTTTGAACAAAACACTCCTCCAGCAGTGTGAATCATCCAGTGATGTCAGTATTCAGTATTTGCTCAAGGGAAACTGTACTAAAAATCCATCTGCATACGTTGAGTATGTTCAAAAAAAAATAACACAGGTAAACTGAAGTTCAGAACCTTGATGTGAGTTAATCCCAGCTTCAGTCTGTCTACTGGCTTTGGAAGAAAACATGTTCATGCTTGACCTTGAGTCAGCATCTCTGCCTGCTACTCACTCTCTCATGCACTGGGGAGTCCGGATTGGAATCTTCCTCTGTCCCATAGGGTGAAGTGTCACCAGTGGAAACTCTGCTCACTGCCATCTCTGCATGTCCTTTCCCCTGTGGCCCTTTCATTCGGACAAACTCCATGTTGTTGTACTTATAAAAGCCAAAAGACATCCTTTGAGCCATCTTAGCTGCAACACTCACCTACAATGCAGGAGAGAAAGCCACGTCATAACATCCCTGTGTTCCAAAAAAATAACATTCTCTGAAAGCAGTTATCTAAAGTCAAAACCAAAGTGAACAATGATTGTTATCTTGATTCTTTAGAAGCATTTTAAGCCACAATTGGGAGGGATCTCCAAAAGGGAAGCAATTCTACAGATAAAAAGGCTCAGAAAAGAGTCAGCTCCTCCAGCTGTCTAAACCGTAGAGTTGCCCACTGGCACTCTGAGATAAACCAAAAGGTTTTTACACAGCCCCACACAACGTGGCACCCTGGAGCACAAGCAGGCACGTGCACAACTCAGCACAGCCTGTGCAGGCTTGGCTGGCTCCAAAAAGCAAGAGACACATACATGAGAGGCTTCAAACTAGCAAAGTGCATCACAGGACCCTAGCTTGTGGCAAGTCAGTTTGGACTTGGTGTCCACACTGTCAGGGCCAAAGCACAGTCATCCCCCATGGACAACTAACCTGCATCTCATTGCTCACCACAAAACCCTGACAGCTTTTGAGCCCTCTCCCTACAGACAGAAAGGCTCAAATTCCAGTAAACACAACTGAACTGAAAACTGAACTGAGAAGTGAAAAGAGGAACAGACCAATATGAGAAGATTCAGGGTTTTGGGAAGGGATATCAGTAGGACTTCTGTGTAAGTTTAAGTGGTTTGTCACAACTTTCAGCAGTTTATCACCTGGAAGGGTCAAGGTGCTCTCACATAACACAGCTCATATTATGCTAACAATTAATACAGACACAAGTGAAACCAAGTAACCTTCAAAAGCATGGAGAGATTGTTTCTGTTCTGTTAAAACAATGGTCAAATCTCAAGTTTTGCCTTTGGCCATAATTGAATATTTGAAAAGCTAACAATTTTATTTCACCTAGGAAACAATGTAAAGTAGCTGTGTGGTGGAACAGGACATTCCTAGGCTAGGAGGTGACTTTACCACATCAAAGTTTGGGTTTTTTTCCACTCCAGGGCTTTCTTCTTACATTGTCTTTAGTGATTCTGCCTTCCTTTGTATTTTAATAACCCACCTGATGATTGCATGAGGTCATGAGATGATGGTGAAACAGAAAAATTTCAGCTTTCATGTTCTCTAGAAGAGTTTAACTATTGACATTCAAAACAGGTAGAAGGAAAATTATTCAGGATCTCTCCTGACAAGTGTAGGAACAAATGGAAATGAAGTTTATAGTCACAGTAGGTATTATGGGGATTTTTTAAATTTGTTTTTTTAAAATCTCCCAGGACTGTCTTCATAACTGTCAGAAGTTTATTGGCTCTTGCATTCTCTTGACTTCAGCACTAAGTACTGAATTTGAAGCTGAAATATTTCATATTTCTGTAGGAAAGCAAAGGAAGTTTCTTTCTGTGACAGCTGAACTACAGTGGTCTTTTGAAACTAGCCATGAGTACAAAACACACTAAAGAAAAAACATGATTTCCATATAAGCAAGGTAGTCATCAGAGTTAAGATCTCCCTTCAAAACATCCCTTCTCTAAAGTAACTAGAAATATCTATGACCTTTCCAGAAAAGGAAGGGGCTCCCAGAACTCTGCTATTCAGATCCATCCCTGTCATGCTCCTGACTACTGATCAGCTTCACTCCTATTGGCAAACACCAGAGTAATAGATCCTGACTTGAATAGTCTCCCTTGTCTGAGCCAAAAGCATTAGCTTTCAGGTAACTTTCAAAGCCAAAAAAGATGAATGGTGCAGATGATTTAATAGGACTAAAAGCTAAGAGCCTCAGCAGCAAAGAGCAACTGTGGTCAGAGTACTGTTGCAGAGGACATTGTCTTTCAGAAGCATCTTACCCTGTTGTCATAGACTTTCTTGAGTGCTTCATAGCGGATGGACCCCTGAAAAATCACCCCTTGGAAGGTGTTGCTTTTGTCACTGGCCACCAGCTCCACACAGACCATCTCCCCTTCTCCCACAGTCATGTCACTGAAAACCTGCCAAAGATGCAAAATGAAACACTTTAAGACAAACTGCAGCTGTTAAAGTTCATTATATATTCAGATTCCCAAAATTCTCCTTCAGCCCAAGGCAGCTTCAATGTAAATGGCAGAAGCAAGGGAGCTGTGAGTGCACACTGCAGGTGATGTGTTAAGGTAAGCAGCAATCACATCAGCCTGTCATAAAGACAGATGTCAAAATCCAGCTTTAAGACCAGGTTTCAAGCATTAAAGAAAGAGGAAGGTCAAATAAAATAAAATTTAAAATGCTGTGAGATAACCCTCAATCAGCCAAGAACATTTGTTCAAAAGGTACAAGGAAACAGCTCATCAGGACATAAGACTAGAACAGGGCAAAACTCTGCTGCTGCAACAAGGAACTCACCTCTTCAAAACTGTCAATCATGAAGAATATGTTGGGGTAGCTGATCTTGGACTCCTCTCCTTTGCTGTCCATTGGGTGTTTGCTAGGAGATGCAAACACTTGCTGAGAAGGATATGGAAAATAAAATAAAATACATCTTCTCATCTGAGTGTGCTCAGGAAATGGATACACTGAATACAAGGCAAAAAAAAAAACCCAAAACACCCCAGTCCAGCACTGCTCAGTCAGCCAATGTTTTCACCTACTGCTGGACATCCTGCAGGCAGAGCTGAGATGGCTTCTGCCTAAAGCCTGTTTAGCAATAGTGGCCCTTGTGAAATCCTTGAGTGTTCCCATGTGAGTTATCCAACACCAGCTGCTCCACAGTGAATGTCCCTGTGTGCACCTGACCTCTCACCATCCTATGGTACAGATAAGGTCTCCTCCTTTCCATTAACAGGGAAAACCACCTTGAGTGAACTCCCCTGGTCACTTCACTCCTCAAAGCAACCTATGTTTAAATAGCTGAGGGCTCTAGATTTTATCATTCCAACAAGACTAGCAAGCAGGTCAAGAGGGAGAAGAATTCACACCAAGCAGCTTTCTTTGCTTCTCCACTGCTGTTTGCAAAGCTTTGAGTTAAAGAAACCTGTCAAGTCTGAGCTCACTGTGAATGTGCTGAAAGCTCTGAATCTGCTGCTCAGATTGTCAGGCTTGTGATGTTCTTACTACAAACCATTCAACACAAAACATGACTAAGGGTAAGATGTTAGATACTCACAACAAGGTTGCTTTTCCTCATTTGTGCTTATGAAGTCTGCATGCAGATTTAAATATCAGTATTTTAATTATTTTATGTTTATTTATATTTCTATAATTATTTCTATAATTATTTTAATATAGTACTAAAATTATAGTATTATAGAATTATAGTATTAAAAGAAAAGTTGCCTTATGACAAGAAGCTCCTCAAAGAGTCAAAGTAGTCTGCAAAACAACTTAGTGGCAAATCAGCCTTTTTTACACTGGTTTTGTGCCTTAGTTTTGAACCTCTAGGAACAAGGGAGAGAAACTCCTCTCCTTACTCTGAGAACTGCTCCCATGCAGTGAGGGCAGGTCTTTCATCCCTATCTTCCTAGTTTTTAAATCTGCATGCACTATTTACAGATTTTGCTCAAAAAGAGATTGCAGAAGTTAACTCTGGGTGAAATGTGGACTAGTAAACAGTGGAAAAAGCAATGAGAAATAAAAGTTTTACATCAGTGGTGTAAATGTGGTCACACAACAGCACCAGAAGGAGGGAATTATGTGCCCAACAATGCAAATTACAAATAAAATAATCAGTGTTGCTAGGTTAGTTCATAGGCAGTGACAACTGCTTTAAAGTGGCAAAACAAAATGGAAGGATTAAAGAACATTGATTTATTTCAGGTAAAGCCACAAAAGCAGCTGAATGAGCCAACAGAATGGAAATGTGGGAGAAACAGCCTTTTAAAGAGGAATTTCTGCCAACTAGAAGTCATTGCAAGCTCTGCTAGGAACTCAGTGAAGAAGTCTGGGGTCTCTTGTTCCTATCCCATCCACACTCACTCTTCAGTTTCCTCCCCAAAGCTAAACCCTGCATTAACTGTACACTGCACATGATAAAAGCCTTCAGAGAAGGAAGGAGCAGATTAAGAGAGAAAACAAGACTCTCATAAAACAATAAACCCATAAAACTGGTAATCAGTAAGCTGTTTACCATTTAATAGCCCTGCATTATGGATTTACCCTGAAGGCTTCTCATAACTCAGGTCTCAATTAATTTCAGGTTCACCCTCAGACTCACACTCCAGCACAGCCACACCACCCCCCTCCAAGCAGGCAAAGACAGAAATCTCAAAAGCATGCAGAGGTCTCTGTGATTTTTTTTGAGTGGCTACAAAGGGAATTTAGATCTCACATTTAGATGACTGGCAGGAAATGTCACTGGACAAAGACCTGAGATGCTTCACGAGGATGCACCTGTCAGAGCACAGCCTGTTTTGATACAGGGTTTAGATTAAGTAACACTGGATGCCAACCTTTTATCTACAGAAAAAACAGTGTAATCTCACCTGAGATTTCTTTTTGTGAATGTGAATGTCTCCTCCATCAGAGCGTGTGCACACAGCACATGTCACCACATAATCCAGCTAAAACAGGCACCAGAGAGAGAGATAAAAAACATTCAAAAACAAAACATCCATGGGTGTGAAGGAGAACACACCCTGTCTTTAATTCTTTTAGCTGTCTGACTAAAAAGTAAGATGCTCTGGTACTGCTGTTTTCTTTAGCCTCCAGCATACTGAAACTCCCACAATTTTCAAGCCTGTGTTTGTTTATTAACTGAAATCTTTTGCACAGATGCTTGCAGAGGTGCATAAGTTATGGGTAAAGAAACTCCTGTCAATATTTTTTAACACCATTAAATTTAATTCAATTTTATTTAATTAAAAAAATTAAATTTTTAAATTTTTTTACTGGTCAGCTGGGTGAATAAGCACCACACACACACACACATAAGCACCCTGGTGGAAACAGGAAAGATATCCTCCCTTCAGAAGGGAAAAAATAGAAACAGTAATGAACACCAGCAACACATTATGGAGGTCAGAACCCATTAACCTCATCTGCCAAACATCCTGAAAAAACCTGTAAGGAGCAAACGTGGCCAGCACTGATGAGCTGCAACAGCAGCTCTGACTTCTGACTGCAGCAAAGGGGTTCTGCTTTTATTCAGCATCAAAGGTGGAAACTGTTCTCTACAGAGAAGTCTGCAATGAGACTTTTGGGGGCAAGGAGAGAGGATGAAAACAAATTTATTCTCCAGGATGGGTGCAATAAGCCATCAGTCTCTCATTCTGAGATCATCAACAAGAAAACTTTTATGGGATCTGGAATGACTACAGCAACATTCAGCTTCCCTAAGCACCAATGTAACAGAGGCAATAACTAAAAAACCTGTGAGTTAATTACAGAAATAATTTGTGCTAGCTTCATGTTTCTACCACCAACAAAAAAACTTCTATTAAAGTTGTGATGTTAAGAGCAGCAAACTCCCAGTGTAATCCATGACACCTTTACTGCATTTCCACCTAGCAGTTCCCTCCCTTAGCTGCACCAGTACAGCAAACCCTACCAGAAATATTCCTTCTCTAACAGTCTCATTCACTCTCAAAAAATACTAAAACTGACAAAACCTCCCATTTTGCAAAATTTTGTTACAGAGCATTAAATATATCCAGTGAAGCTGGGCTGAATTTTAAGTGTTTTGAGGAAAGCTATTAGGACTCTACTGAAAAATAATAAACATCTCAGTGTATGTTCATTTAGACTCTGAAAAGTGAAATGAAAACCATGTTTTTTCATCCTCTACAACTGTTCAAATCCCCCAAGCTAGGGAGGAAAGGGCTAGCCTGAGACCTCTCCAGCACAAGCAGACCATGAAATGAGATGAGCACCACTTCTACCTTCTGTAGGATGAGGTTCAGGTAGACACTCTCTTCCCAGTCAATGTCAGGGTCTCCCAGGCCAGGAAGCTTCTTAGAATCTCTGCGGTAAACTTCAACTTCAACCTGCTAAGAAAATATCACACCTCCTTGAAAAGAAATCACCTCAAGTTACCCATGAGCAGAGGCAAAACTGACACCAGAAGCTGCACGTTGTGTAGCTTGCTGCTGGCATTTTCTGCCAGGATTGGATTTTGTTATCTCTGTTTGTCAAGGTGTTTGGTTGCTCGGTTTGTTTTTAAATTATTGAGACAGACTTTAACAGATGTTTAGGAAATACCTGGAATATTGTGACCAGTTGACACCACTGTGAATAAGGCAATTCAGAGAAAGAGGGTAGAGCTCATTAATTACAAGACAGATTGTCATAAATCATATGGATTTATGTGGATGAAATCAAATGGACTACAATTAAGACCTATGCTGATTTGAAATTAGATTAAGCATTACAGTAACTGTGTGTTTCTTTCAACTCCTCTATAGTATAAAGCTATGAGACTGAAATATTATAAAGAACAGTGAAACAGTACAATATTTCAGGACTGACACTACCACCAGACACCATGAAAGCTGCATGCATTGTTATCTATCCTTAATTTTTTAACTTACAAATATTTTTTTAAAATGCCTACAGACTCATACATTATCATTCCTTTGTTTTGATTTATTTCTTCTAAAGCTCCTAGCCACGAATTTTTCTATTGGCAATAGTCTTACACAAACTAATGAGGGTTAAAAAACAAAGATATGAGCAGTTGAGGGAAATAATTCAAATCCATCTCCAAAAAACCCAAAGGTGATATTTGCACTTTGATGCCTAAAAGCACAGAACCATCACATGCACAAGACTCCAAAAATGCCCTGGGAAACAAAAGCCATCCTGTTTCTGAAGGAAAGAAACTGCAAGATAAACCTCTAGCTCTGGTACCAGGGTAAGTCAGACCAAGTTCTCAGCAGACACCTTCTCAGCCTCTATAGCCACAGAACCTTTATTCTAACTGAGGCAGAGTTCACTCGTCTCTTAGCAGTAAAATTTAAACTTCCTATTGTAGAAGTCAGCCACTCATTTTTTTTTTTGGCTGGTGAAACTGAACTACTTCTCCCCAACAATCCCAAAGCCATTGCACAACAGCTTTCATGGAACACTCCCCCAGCCCTGTCACAGGCATTTAGACAAAAAGGGCCTTTCTTTCATCACTTCCTCCTTATGCTCTAATGCAGGGTAGGATCTCTGGGTGTTACAACCTGTGGGTTGGGGCATGGTGGACCACCATGGACCACTGCTCTGCCATGGCTGTTCCACAAGCCAAGTGCTCATGCCATACTTCCAAAGGAAATTCATTTAGGGAATTTAAAGAATTCATTATTTTGCCAAGCAGTAAATCACACAGGGTTGATCTCTTCAACAGGTCAAACCAGGCAGGACATTGGAGACCTCTTCCCAGAGTGGAAGGAGCTGTTAGCAGCAAGAAATAACAGACACAGCATCAATCCAACCTCACAAGGATAAAAAAGGGGCTACCAAATGCTCTCCACAGCACTGGCATCTGCTGGACGTGTTCTGTAGCTCCTGGTCATGTCAAAGAAAGTGTCCTCAAGGTGCACCAGAGAAACAAGCCAGCCCTGCCCAGCAGTCACACCACAGAGCCAGTGAAAAGAGCTCACTTGTGAAAAAAATCACACCCCTTATCTCAGAAACACCTCTCTCTGCAACATCTTTTTTCATTTCTAAACAGTTCTTCCAGAAACAGCAAAAAGGCATCTTGGCACAAAGCACAGGGCTAAATCTGGGTTGCCCAAAACAAGCAGCACTTTCCAGGGGTTGAATTTCCTATGCAAGTGCTGTAGCTCATGAAATAATCTCTTCTGCCTCAGTGCTGGGTGTATGGAGGTGGCCATGAGATATTATGTGAAATAAACCAACTCAGTTCAACTTGTAGCAAATGATCCTGCTGTTGCTGGTGCACTGTAGAGTCTCATGGTGTAGGGA